GGTGGCTGGCCGAGGGAGGCTGAAGAAGGGGGGCTGCTCCCATGAGGGCGGTGGATGAGGGCAGCTCCCGCGAGGGAGGCGGCTCCTGCTCTGGCAGCTGGGTTCCCCCCACGAGGACCACCAAGCGGGCCCGGAGGTGAGCAATGTTACCATGTAATATGTCTGACTGTATTATCTCTCATGCTCTTGATGACTTTAATATAATACTTATATATCTCAACCGTACAATTGTGCATTACTGAATCCACGAAGTAGCAATAGGAATATTAGTGGTGGGGGCTGGACCCCCACCTCCTCCCAGCGCCATTTTTAATTTAATACTACACTGTGTTTTGAACACCGAGTCCTTTGGGAGATAAGCATTTTGGAGATATTTCCTCCCCACCCGTGGCCTGTTTGTCCAACAGTCTTCCACTGGGCAGAAGCTTCTCGTCTTAATGTAGTTCGGCACACGGATTTTTGGGGTGCACAGATCATGTTTTTGGTGGTGTGTCTGAACACTGCCCGGCCTGTCGGTATGGCCACGGTGTCAGTCACCCTGCCGAGGGCCTTTCTCTTTTCCGTAGCCCTCCACTTTACCAAGCATGACGCCTTCCTCCAGGGCCTGGTCTCTCCTGACGAGGGGTCCAAAGTACAAGAGGAGGTCTCTCCATCCTGGCCTCCAAGCAGCACCCTGTCTTCTTCCAACAGATTTGTTTCTTCTCCTGGCAGCCGCAGCCCATGCAACAGTATTGTCCGTGATCTTCACAAACGCTGCCATCCGAGGACCCCAGCTCTGTGTCAGTAGCATCAGGCATAAAAGGGACAGGGGCTAGGAGACCCCACAAGGGGCTGGTTAGTTTTGCCATGCGCGAGGTTCAGATGAGCCGTCTCAGAGGTGGAAAGGGGGCCTCGGTGCCATCAAGAAGGAAGAGCCAACAGTAGAGTGTTCCTCGGATCCTGGGTCCCTGTGCTGAGAACTCCCTAGACCCAAGACGGAGAGTGAGAACAGAATCACCGGGAAGGGCTCCAGGCCAGGAGAAGCGGTGGACAGGGAACACTGGCAGCAGAACCAGGTGGTCAGGCGCGAGTTAGGTGGGTGGGAGACAGCCTGGTGGGCTTCTCAACTCACAGAACAAGATAGCTGAGTGCCTCCTGGCTGGGGTTAGTTGGCGGAGCGGGGTGCCTTTGGGAACTTCTCCGTGGAGCTGAAGGCTTTGTCTTCCAGCAGGGCAGGGGCCAAAGGCCGCGAGACAGAGGACTCGGCTGAGGAGAAACTGTCCTGATCCAAGACTTGGGTGGAGTCCTCTCCAAATCGTGGCGTTTTACCTGCGACTTCTCTAAGAGGGATCCCTGGCGGAGCAGCAGGTTACCTGTTAGGCTCCTATCCCACAAGGTCAGCCGTTTGAACTCACCAGACGCTCCTCATAAGAAAGAGGCTTTCTACTCCCGTGAAGAACGGGTCTCAAGCCCACAGCGGGCAGCATGCGGAGCCAGAATCGACTTGACAGCATTGGCTTTACTTTGATGATAAACTCCCACATCAGGACATCGTCTGCAAGTCCTGTGGGGCCGTTGCAACGGCCTTGGGAAGCCAGCGGAGAAGCAGAGCACGAGGGTCAGGGCGGCCGGCGTCAGGGCTGGTGGACAGGTTGGAGGTGCGTCTGCCTCGTGAGCATCAGCTGGGTTGATGGTGATTCTTACCCACCCCTCCTCCGGTCACTATAGGTCTTCTGCCACATGAACTGCTGGAACAGTTTGCCTCAAGACACCTGGCTGAGATCTGTTAGCTGGGTGTTGATCTACAGGTCAGTGAGGAATTGGTACTTAACGATATAAAGCATTCCTCATCAGGAACAGGTGGTATCTTTCCATTTCTATCTTCAGCGTTTTGCCCCACTCTGAGATGAGGTTGTCGGTTCCCATAAAGGCTTAGTTTTGGAAACCCTATGCTCTAATTAGGGGCCGTCAAGTGTGTTCTGATCCACAGGGAGCCCGTGTACCACAGAACCAAGCACAGTGGTCCTGTGCCCTCCTCACTATGGCTCCGTGCCGGGGCCATTGCAGCCACGGGGTCGTCTGTCTTTGTCACTGTCCCTCAGCTTTCCCAAACATGATCCCCTTCTCAGGGACCCCCCCTGGAGTTGCTGTCAGTCAGAACCCACTTGATGGTGGTGGGGTTTGGGGTGTGAAACATGGAGTCTCTCATATGATGGTGCAAAGAAACACTGATCCACAAGTCAGTTAGTGCCAATGGGGTGTGAGTGGGAAGCTCCATCAGTGGCCAGGCCAATGCCGCAGGGCCTCCTTGGACGGGGAGGGTGGCCCAGTGGGTTATGCTACCTGCAAGGTCAGTGATTTGAACCCACTGGTCCCTCTGTGGGAGAGGAGGGGGCCTGTTCTTGTAAGGACTTCCTCTCGAAAGCCCACAGGGGCACGGAGTCAGTGATGCTAAAACAATGACCTGGCCTCAGGTCTGTCCCTAATCGAGGGGAGCGTCCCACAGGGGGCTGGCATCAGTTCCGCAGGCCTGCCCTCGTTGCCTGGGACCAACAGGGCCCCACTCGATGCAAGAGGCCACTGGGACCAGCTTGTTCCTGGCAGGCCTCTGACCCTGAAAATGACCATGCAGTTTGTCTGTCTCTGACAAGTTAGCAGAACGAGGGTCTCTGTGTATGGACCGTGTGTCCTGCCGCCTTGTTAGAATCGCTGTCGGTCCAGGTTTTGTGGACCCCTTTATGTTTCTGCAGGGCCATCAGGCCCGCCCCCCACCGCTCCTCTTAGCATCTCAGGTGGCGTCCTTAGGATGCCCAGTCCAGGCCCGGGTGGGAATAGGGGCTCACCTGCCCTGCTCCCCATCTCAGGGAAGGACATCACCTCTCATGGTGAAGTGTTTGGCACGCCAGCAGACCACCTCCTGGCATAGTGGCTAAGCGCCCGCTGCGACCACCAGGCTGCTGGACCCCCACGAAAGACGTGGCGGTCTGCTCGGGAGGCCAGGGGCATGGCTTTGGTTGGGATTTTGTCCCCGATCTTAGGGGGAACCATGTCTGGTCTCACCAGGGATCTGGTGTTGTTGGGATTTCGTGTCTGCTCTCTGGGGGCTGCTAATGGGGTGCTCTACCGTGACCCAGCAGGCCCCACCCCCCCTGCCATTCAAACTGGCAGGCTGACATCTCATCTCCGTACCCATTCTTTTGTGGCTGCAAGGGGCCTGGTGGCGTGGGCTGAAGAGTCAGGCTGCTAATGTCAGTCACCTGCTCCTGTGACGATCCCAGGCTGAGCCCCATGGGCAGTGCCCCAGGGGCCTCACGGGGCAGGGGGTGGAGGAGTGGGGCCCTGGTGAGGGCTGAGGACCCTGACAGCACCTGCCCACACTAGTTCTGACCCCAGGGTCCTGTGAACACGGCTGGGGGTGTGAGGGTGAGGGACAGAGGGCACTTGCAGCTATGCACGGGTCCAGGGGTCTGAGCCAGTCAGCCACATCTTGTCCATGCCAGTGGGTGCCCAGCTGCTCCCAGGACAGAGGCCAACCCTGTCTCTTGCAGCTGGGTCACCTTCACAGCTCCAAGCCTCCTCACCCACCTCCTCCAGGAGGCCCTCCAGCCTCTGCTCCCTTCCCTGTAACATCCCCTACCTCCGCCACACACACGTGAACTGGGGTCCTGGGCTGACCAAGTTGCACCCTTGGAAACAGCTGCCAGGGCCAGGCTCACAGGGCATCAGGTGGGACGTCACGGATGCCCCAGTGCTGGTTCTGTGGGGACTGTGGTGGACAGCTTGGTTGCTGTCCTGTTTACCCCCCGAGGGGCTGCACTGGGCCTGGGGAGGGGTTTGCAGGCAAAGCCTCCAGGTCCCCACTGGGTGGTCCAGCCTGAGGTCTCACCACCCGCGGCGGGCGGAGCTCACTGCAGCGGGCCGGGGTGGCCTCACCACCAGTGAGGGCTTGCTCAGAGTGCCGGCCCCTTAGGGAAACCTACTTGCCTACACTCCGGCCAGCCAGGCAGGCCCTGGGCCTTGCAGGTGGAGAGGCTGAGGCTAGAGGGGGTGAGGGAGGTAGAGCGGGGTCAATCCTACCTGGTGTGGCCGGGGCAGGACCCTGCCCCTGCTCCTGTGATCCCAGACCTCCTCATGAGAAGAGACAAAGGGGCGCAATCCCTCCTCCCTGGCTCTCTGAGAATGGACAGACGGGGTAGGGGCAGCCCTGCTGCCCCCTGGACTGTGTCCTGAGCGAGGGCTGGCAGAACAAGGGCCACTGGGTCACAGGGCTGATCCTGGACAGGAAGGCTCTTGGCCCTCGGTACAAGATACACTCTTGCCCCAGGCTGCCCTGCTGTCTAACTCGTTGCCTGGGCACGTGCACACACACACACACACACACACACACACACACACACACACACACACACACACACACCTGCCGAGTGTCCGCAGGTGGCCCTGGGGCCAAGAAGAGGCTTGACTGAGACGATGAACAAGGGCTCTTCTTTCATTTCCTCTCAGTGTGTCCTAGTGTTGGTGTGGTCCAGCATCCACATCACAGCCACGTGGCACACCGACCTTGGATGGGCACTGGCAGACCTGCCCATCTCCAGCATGGCCTGCCGCTGGGGATTCGGGAGCCGTGTGTGTGTCACAGCGCAGTCAGTTGGTTTGAAAGTGCTTCTTGGGATAGGGTGGCATTCCTGCTACTCAGCCCACGGGAGGCCTAGGGACTAAGCAGCATGTGGCACGGTGGGTGGGTGGGTGGGTGTGGGGGTGGTGCATGTCAACGGGGTGTGTGCAGGTCGGGAAGCCTGGGTTCACCCACCAATGTGAGCTCGTGTGTGCACTCACACGCGTGCACACATCACACACGCACACTCAGATACACATGCAGGCGTACCACAAACACCCCCCCAGCACCCACACGTGCACTCATGAATAGGTACACACCACGAACAGGCCTGCACATGTATCACAAGCGCCCACATGTGCACACATTTATACGCACACGCATATACACACCCACGCACCAGGCACGCAACTCGCACACACACCCCCCAAAACACACATACATACACACACCCACATGCACACCTCATACACACCAGGGCCCCGGGGCGCCCTGCCCTCAGGCGGCTGACAGGAAGGGGAAGAAGAAGAAGTTGAAGGCAAACTTGAGGGCGCCGTGGGCAGAGCCGCGCCAGTCCTGCTCCAGCTTCACGTGCCGGGGGGCTGGCAGGGGCTGGGCCGGGCAGTTCAGGCAGCTGATGGCCTTGAGCTCGAAGACGGGCCACTTGCTGCCCAGCCGGCCCTCGAGCACAGTGCTGAACTCCACGAGGCTGCCCTGGCGCAGGCCGAGCAGCACGGCGCGGAACTCATTGCTGGCCCGCAGCACGATGTCCTTGGTGACGTCGTCCTCCGCCTCGGGGCCGCCGGGCGGCATGCCTACCGTGAGCTCGAACTTGTAGCGGTCAAAGCGCTTGATGTGGCAGCGGTGCTTGGCCAGCAGCGAGAGGCGGCACAGCTCCGGCTCCGCGGTGGGCGCACCCTGGGTGCCGCAGGCCGGGTACGCCTCGCCGTACAGGCAGCGCAGCCAGTCGCCCGCGGCGAAGGGCAGCATGTTGACGGCCGCCTCGGCGCTGTTTTCTATCTCTGTCACGCGCACGTACTTGAAGCGGCCTGTCCAGGTGACCCGGTGGCCCTCCAGGTGGCTGCAGAGGATCTGCGTGCGGGCCATGTTAGTCTCGCGCCAGGCGCGCGGCCCGCACAGGGCGCTGTACTGAGGCCAGGTCAGTGTGGAGTTGTACACCTTCATGCCCTCTGAGCGGTACACGTAGAACCAGCAGAAGAGCACCACGGCCGAGACCCAGACTAGGATGAGCTTGACCACGGAACTGCGCGTGAGCGACCGCAGCGCATCTGACACGGAGGCGCGGGCCCCGCGGCCCCAGCGCAGCAGCAGCGGGATGCCGCAGGCCGCCAGGACGGCCACCACCTTGGTCAGCTCCAGTGACAGCACCCAGCGTCCCAGCTGCAGCAGGCCCATGAGGGCCAGCCCGATGGTCATGGCGGGCAGCGCGAAGAGGAAGAGCAGGTAGCCGATTGAGGCGCGCACCAGCCCCAGGCCAGTGGACTCCAGCAGCAGCTCCACCGCCAGCTCGCACCACATGAAGCAGACCAGGTAGGGCACCAGGTAGCAGTAGGTGCCCTTGAAGCGCCTGAGCCGCGCCATGCGGAAGAAGCAGTAGAAGAGGTGCAGGTAGAGCAGGCAGGGCATGCTCACGTTGAGCACCACCAGGCGGCCCAGTGGCACTCGGAACAGGGCCTGGCCCAGCAGCTTCAGCGGCTGGCACTCGAAGGGCAGGCTGGGCAGCAGCGACAGCAGGCCGGCCATCACCTCGGTGACCAGCGCTCGGCGGGTGTGGGGCTCGGCAGAGGTGCCCAGGCTGGCGTAGCTGGTCACCGTGAAGAAGATGGCCACCAGCGCCAGCTCGGAGCAGGGGACCCAGTCCCTGCTGGCAACGGGGAAGGAGAAGATGACGAAGAAGACGGACAGCAGGAAGTGGACGTAGGGCTCCAGGTGGTTCCAGCTGAAGTTGCCCTCGGCCTGCTCCACATCCAGGCTGGGCTCGAAGCGCAGCAGCAGGCTGGTGAGCGTGCGGAAGCTCTCCCAGGCCCTGCTGTCCTGGAAGACCTTGAGGGTGCAGATGACCATGGAGAGGAAGGACAGGTAGAAGACCACCAGGGGGATGCAGAAGGCGAAGAAGTCGATGGTCAGGTTGCTGATGATGAAGAAGAAGAGCAGGGCGTTGAGGTGGTGGGTGGGCACGATGGTGGACAGCCAGTGCATGCCCGCCTTGGAGGCCAAGTCGATCAGGTACTCCTTGATCTCCATGATGGCGTGCAGGGGATATTTGACCAGCTGGGGGGCAGGGGGAAGAGGGGCTGTGAGCATGGACAAGGACTCAGGCCCTGCCCTGCACACTGCCCGCTCCACGCACCAGCTACCGGCACAGGGGGCAGCCTGCCTGGCCGTGCTCCTACCATGGGCCTCCATTGGGAGGTGGGCCGCAGGGAGAGCACTGTATGCCACTGTCTGCCAACGGTCTCAGCACCCCGAGTCAAAGACATACTGTCGAGTGGATGCAAACACAAGGCCCCGCAGTATGCTGCCTATGAAAATCTCACTTTGAACTCAGCAGCCCGGCCGTCACCGAGGAGCAGCACGGAGGCAGCCACGCTGCACTAGCTCTGGGCAAAGAACGCGGGAGGGGCTGCGTGGACTTCAGATAATCCAGGAGAACGCTCAGGAAGGAAGAGGGGCTTGATGTGGCGCGAGGGTGGCGAGCTGGGCTGCTAACTGCAGGGTCAGCAGTTTGAAACCACCAGCAGCTCCCCTGGAGAATGAGGAGGCTTTCTATTCCTGTGGAGATTTACAGTCAAGGAGAACCACAGGGTCACCCTGCTCTGTCCTACAGGGTCCCCCTGAGCGGAAGTGGGTTCACAGTCTGTGAGCGTGGTTAGGAGATGGGCCTCATGTGACCCAACTCATCCTAAGCGTCCGGCACTACCTCATGCCCCAAGACATGACCAGCAAGAAAAACCAGAGACTGCTCGCTCCCTCTCGTGAACACAGTCAGCAGATCGCAGCCAACGTTGCACAAGAGGAGCGCTGTCGTCTGATGCTGTGACTCATAGCTTTGCTGTGCAGAGCCGAAGAAAACACGGCCCAGTCCTGCGCTAGCCACCCACTGCACACGTCTGAGCCCGTCGTTGCAGCCACAGAGTCCATCCATCTTGTGAAGTCTGCTCTTGTTGCCGCCCCTCCACTTTACCCAGCATGCTGCCCTTTCTCTGACAGCGTGTCCGAAGTACGTGAGACATCCGTCCCACCACATGGGATTTTGTGCAAATGTGCAAGGCTGGTTGCACAAACCATTGAACATATTCCATCCTATCAACAGACTAGAGAAGGAAAATCGTGATCCTATCAAGATGCCACACACACACACACACACACACACACACACACACACACACACACACACGATTTCCAGCAAACGAGGGCTTGAGGAGAAGTTCCTCGGCCTGATAAAGAGCAAGGACAGACCCACAACCAGCATCAGACTCCGTGGTGGCAGGCACGTGTCCTGATGATCGGAACAAGACAAGGCGGCTGCCTCACCACTGCTGTTCAAGGCGGTCCCCGAGTGCATATTAGACAAGGAAGCGACACCACTGAAGAGTGGAAAGGAACAGACAAGGCGGCTGCCTCACCACTGCTGTCCAAGGCTGTCCCAGAGTGCACGTTAGACAAAGAAGCGACACCCCTGAAGAGTGGACAGGAACAGTCACACGCCTCTGTTGACAAATGGCGTGACTGCCTCGGGAATGGACCAGAGCTCCCAGAACACAATGGACCAGAGCTCTGACGACAGCAAGGGGCAGGATTCCTACAAGGTTAATATGTTAGAGTCACGGATAATTAAAATGGGAAAGGCCACAATTCCATTGACATTAGCACCACAGTAGCAGAATTCTGACATTCACCTCACGTTTCCGAGGCTACACAAGGAACCAGCCCTGTGCCAACAGGGAAGCACTTGTGGACTAATCGAGTGTGGCAGTTCACCCCCTACAGCAAGGCACCCCCACTGTTGTGAAGACGCTCCCCGGGAGCAACTCTCGGGAATGCCCAGGGCCGTCACGGGTCAGCACCAAATCCATAGCAACGGTTCATTTGTTTGTTTTGAAGGAGAAGATGACAAACCTGCTGACAGGAATCAACACAAACAATCTACGATTGTGGACAGGAAGACTGTCAGCTCTTCCAAACATGACCTCCGAGTCTGGTGCAATCCCAGTCAGAACCTCAGGGAGGTCCTTAGTGGGACTGAACAAGCTTTCTCTACCATCTACATGGAAAGCCCAGCCACCACCACACTGCGGAGGGGAGCTGGCCTGGGACAAGGTGGTGTTAGTGGGAGAATAAACGAGACCCCGGGGCAGATTAGTGAGCCCAGACACAGACCACCCCAGGGACAATCAGCTCATCTTTGACAAAGCAGCAAAGGCCACCCACCCTGTCCCACACAGGGTCCAGGGACAGCCGGCCTCCACCTGCAGCACCATGCGCCCGATACGGAACTGGGGTCTCTGACAGCCACGGGAACACCTTCCAGAGGACACCGGAAAGACGCCAGGCCATCAGGTCGGGTCGATGGCGACTTGGCGACCACACAGGACAGTGTAGACCGGGACGGTCACTCTCTATGGGAGCAGAAAGGCCCGTCTTTTCCCCAAGGCTGCGGCTTCAAACCACTGAGCTTGCAGTTAGTTGCCCAACGCAGACCCACTGCGCCGCCGGGGCCCTGACAGCCATAAGCTGTTCCGTCATCTGACCACTCTGTCGTCCCTGCTGTCTGCACGGGGCTACAGGTTAGGTTCTCTCAGCGGCTGGGGGCTTCACACTGCTGGCCTTGTGGTTGGCAATCCAACCACTTTGCCAAATCCAGGTGACCTGAGTGTGACAATTACTTCTGAGATACAACCACCCAAACCTGAGTCCACGTAAGAAGAAAACCCTAAGTCCAATTTCATTTAGAAACTGAAAACCTGGCTCTTCAAAGTGGCACCGTTAGAAAGGAAAGGCACGCCACAGACTGGCAGCAAAGCTACAAAACAGACATCTGGGAAGGGCTTGTGGGAAGAGTGGTCCAGCTAGAGGGTGGAAGAGCTGAACCATGCCCCCAGTGGGCCTGCCGAGGGCGTGAGGGCCATCCCCGAGTCCAGGCCAGGCCAGGCTCCGTCTGGCGTCTCACTCACCACTCAACTGGCTGCCCTTCAGTGCTCTGGCCCCCCACTGAGACACAGGCCCATTCACTGGTGGGAGCCTCCCCCTGGTGTTGCAGGGCGCCCATAGGGGCATGGCCTCACCCTCAGGCGCAGCGGCAAGTCCTCGGGGCTCTTCCCAGCCAGCTCATCGTCCTCGTCCTCGTCCTCGCCCTGCAGGCACACGTCCTGGGGGATGATGCCCTTGGCGTACTTCTTGGTGATCTCCACAAAGTCGTCCAGGGTGAGGAAGCGTTTGGCTGCAGCGGGAGAGGGTGAGCGTCCCCAGGAACGCAGGGTGGGACGCAGGCCTCTCGGACAACACTTCCCTGCCCTGCTGAGCCGACTGGCAGGGGTGCAGGGGACTGGAGGGCTCTTTGGATGACACCAAACTTCCTGCCAAGCCCCCCTGCAGCCTGAGCCCTGCTGGAACCTCTGTCTGGGTCTCCTCCATCTCCCACCACGGCTGACTCTCTGGGTGCCCCATGCCCACAAAGCGAACTCTGGCTGAGTTGCCCAAATGGAGCCGCCCTCCAGCCCACTATGACATGCCCGCAGGGGGTAAGGGGGCAAGAGGCCTCTTAGCAGATTTTGGGGGAAGTGGGTTGGTGGGCGGGGTCAGGGCAGGTCTGGGAGAGGAAGTGGTGGGCGGGGTCTGGGTGACAGATCTGGGGTTGGGTAGGCTGGTGGGTGGGTCCCCCAGCACATCTGGGGGAGAAGCAGGGTCTGGTGGTGAGGGCCTGGGGGTGAGGTGGGTCATGGGTTGGGCCCCAGCAGAGATCTGGGAAGGGGTGAGGTGGGTCAGTACTCACACTCTCTGCTGACCAGACGCTCCAGCATCCGCCTCTGCTTCTGTAAGGACTTGGGGACAGGGCCAGGCTGGGCCCCGCCCTCTGTGGGGACAGGGTGGGTGAGACCTGGCGCTGTCCCTGGCATCCCCCCCACGCCCCGTGGTTCCCCCCACCTCACGCACCATGCCCATCAACCTGGCCCACATTCTCCAGCAGCTCGGACACAGCCACCTGCTTCTCCCTCGCGGGGTTGAGCCTCCAGTACATGACGCGAGCCAGCCTACGCACCACACGCTCCAGCTCCGTCTCGGATGTCAGCTCCTGCACCAGCGGCTCGTTCTCCGATGTGATTCCTGTGCCAGCGTCAGCGTCGGAGGGGGCAGTGCTGGGTCCAATCGGGCCCCCCCACCGCCCCAGGCCACCCTGGGGCACACGCCCCCACAGCCTGTGAGCAGCTCTGCCCAGGCAGAGGGGAGGCTTTGGGGAGTGGCCTCCTGACCCAGTCCATGGCCTGGTGGCCCTCTCCACTGGGGCCAGGGCCTCCAACAAGTTTAGATCCCAGCAGAGGGGGCCTGGCTGTCCATTCAGACCTGCCCTGACTGAGGGGTGCTGACCTCTGGGCACTGACCACAGGACTCTGACAATGGGCGGAGCCCATGGGTGCTGCCATGCAGCATGCTGACCGCGAGGCCTGCGGGTGGCGTGTCCCTCCCGTGGGGTGGGGCAGCTGGGGCAGGGCGCTCACAGGAGCCCATCACGTGTCTGACAGCGGTGGGGGTGGGGGTAGACCGGGAGGGGGACGGGCCCTGAGGGCGCTGCCTGGGGGTGGTCAGCACCCCAGCTGGGCACACCCACCTTTCCTGTCTGCCAGGCACTGGCTCAGCAGTCGGACGGCCTCCCGGCGGCCCTGCTTTGCGGCGAGGACCAGCCAGCCGACGGCGGTGCAGCTGTTGAGCTCCTCGTCCCCCTCGCAGGCCAGCCGCAGGAAGTGCCGCCCCACCTGCAGGAAGCAGGGAGCAGGGAGCACTCGGGCAGGGCTGTGGGGGAGGGTCAGGCACCAAGTGTGGGGTTAGGGGGGCATAGTGTGAGGGTGTCGGATGTGGGTGAGAAAGAGGCACAGGCCTGGGTGTGAGGAGACACAGTGTGTGTGTGTGTGTGGGTGGGGGGACGGGACACAGAGTATGGTGTGTGGTAAGAGGAGGTCCAGTGAGGATACGGGGGGAGGTCCTCAAGCCTGGAGTGACAGGGAGTGCCAGTGTGGGCGTGAGGGACAAGGACGGCCCGATGAGGGAGGGAGTCCACAGAGCGTGGGTGGGAGCAGACGTGAACACCAGGGGAGGGGCCCCACGCGGCTGTGCAGCAGACACCAGTGTCCCCGGGGTCTCCTGCCTTGCCTGTCCTCAGGCACCGAGGGAGCCCCTGGGGGCCGGCTGGAGGAACAAGGACACTGGCCCCCGACATACGCTGTGGGCAGTGGCAAGAATGACCCCTGGAGAGCCAGGGCTCGTGGGTACCCTGCCCGTACCAGGGCCGGTGTCCCACGCCACAAGGCGGAACTGCACTTGGGGCGGAGGGCTTGGTGCGTGCACATGGGGCGGGCGGGCAGTCCTCACCTCTGTCTGCGCTTTCGGGTCCCCGGCCTTGGCTTTCTCCAGGATCTCCTCGAAGGGGGGCGCCGTGTTCTCCCTCCCAAACACTGAAACGCGATGGATGGCCCTGTGAGCCTGGCCTGCCTGGGAGGGCACTCAGCCCCGGGGCCGGACCTGAGAGGCCTGGGAGAGGCCAACACCTCTTGGGGCAGTGGGAGGCTGGCTGTACCTGGGCTCGGCTGGCCGCCTCAGTCCTGTGAAGGACTCACTTGTCTGGGCAGCTGTCACCTGACACCATCTCTGGGCTAGCCTGGGGGCTTCCTGCAGGAGGGCCCTGAGGTATGGGGCGTGGCTGGGGTTGGAGGACAAAGGGCGCAGTGGACACTTAGGGCAGGACCCTGCAGTGACTGCCCAGCTGGTCTGAGGGGAGGGTGCTAGGACCTGCCCGCTCCATGCCCCGATTCCTCCTACCAGACCCCACAGCTCTGTCCTCTCTCCACTGCTCCCAGCCTGCCATCTGTTCAGGACCCCACGGCCCATCAGGCAGCCCCATCCTCTGCCCCCCACCCCCCCACACACACACAACCCCACAGCTCTGACCCCTGCCCAGGCCCCTCCCTGAGGACCAGCAGGGTCCCCTCAGGAGATGCAGAGAGAAACCAGGGAAGAGAAGGGCAGTGCTGCCCAGGGGAGCCACAGGAGGGAGTGCCCGGAGTCCATCCCTTGGGATGTGACCGCTCCTGCTCTTGGGCTCACTGAGAGACCAGGACTTCTCTGACAGGAGATGAAACAAACGAATCACTCAAGGCCCATACTGCGGCCAAGAGACCATGTTGGGGCGATGGTGGGGCCTCACCACCAGCAGGCAGGTCATTGCTGCAGGGGGGCCCAGTGAAGCCCATATGGGGTCCATGCTGGCACCACCCATGGTGTGGCCACCTGAGGGCAGCAGGCCATGCTCCCTGGCCCTCCAGGGCTCGTCCAGCACTGGCCAGGAGGGATGTCCTGAGGAGCCAGCAGGGCCCTGATTGTCCACTGGTGGTCAGTGGACATCCGCTGTGCCCTCAGGTCTTCTCATAGGGGGCACCCCTCTCAGAAGTAACACTGAGTTCTGGGGGCCCAGGGTGGGTTCAGGCAGGCAGAACAAACGGGCCACTCAGAACATGGAAACAGAGCCTGTGTGCCTCCCCAGCCCCTACAAAGGCACCAGCCCCGCCACTGCCCACAGGCTCAGGTCCACGGACAGCCCCGCCCCCTCCTCCTGCTTCTGCCCCGGCCTACACCACAGCCTTTGGTGGACATTCAGGGAACAAGGCTTCTACTAACAAGTAAACTATCATCATGTGACCCGACACTCTCAGTCCTACTCATGAAAACATATGATCACTCCATGACTAGGCACTCTCAGGCCCAGTCATGACGACACAGACTGACCACTTGACCCGCACTCTCAGGCCCAGTCATCAGAGGCAGGGGCTCTCTGTGGTGTTTTCACGGCCGAGGTGGGGACCACCCAAGAGCCACAGGTAGGTGAGGGGTAAGGGAGGCAGATGGAGACTGACACGCTGCTGAGTGACAGCAGTCAGGCGAGAGGCCACGTGTCGTGCCCGTGCACACAAAGCATCTGCAGCAGGGCACTGTTGGACTGGTGGCGTCAGGAGCTGGGCGAGGGCAGAGCGGGCACTGGGTCCCCTCCTGGACCTGGTCAGAGTGATAGCTAGACCACAGGCGAATATATGATGGCGGGGAACCCCACAGTGGAACAGTGTTTGTATGTCATTGAATCACAAGCAGACAATTCCTGTCACCACCCTGGGCTCAGAGCCGGCTGGGGACCCGCCTTAGGGTACAGCTCATCACTGGCCGGTCCCGAGGTTGCACATACCTACCCCTAGCTCCTCAGTACCCCTAGGCTGTGAACCCCTTCTCATGGCTAGCTTTGCCCATGCTGGACAGACAGATGGATGGATGGATGGATGGATGGATGGATGGATGGATGGATGGATGGATGGATGGGAGGGCTGTGGGGCTGCCCTATTCAGCCTTGGCCCCATACCTCATCTTTTCCAGGAACTGGTCCTGAGCAGCTTTGGGGGACTCTCCGGAGAAACTTCAAAAGGGGGGTCATTGGGGTAGGGATGGGGGCGGCATTCAGTCAGGATTTGGAGGGAAAAGGCCCAGAATCCTCTCCCTGGACCTATGTGGGCATCTCTTCCTCCCAACATCAGACAGAGGTGGGGGTGGAGTATAGTACCCTGTGGCCACCTGAGTCCCTGGTTCTACTTGGTGCAGATAAGAGCTGCTCTGGGGACACTGTCCTCCCATCCAGGCCCCTGCCACGGGGGCCTCCACTGGGTTTGCCTGCTCTCACCTGGGCTCTGGGCGGGCCTTGCTCGGGGGTCCTCGAGGTCCTGCTCCGGCAGCGAGGCAGTGGCGTTGAGCCGGGCCCGGGCCTGGGGCGGCGGATGGGCAGGGTTCATCGGAGGAGGGGTGCTGGGGTCCATGCTGCCTGCAAGCAAAGTGCAGCTCAGACTCAGGGTAGGAGCACCCAGAGACCACTGCAGCCCCCAGGCGCCAGCTCTGTGAGCCCATCTGAGGCAGGGCAGGATCAGTGAGGACGCCTGAGAGGCAGTACTGAGCGAGTGCAGACGGGGGCGGCAGAAAGAAGCAGTGGACCCCTGGAGCTGTCCACTCCATGCCAGGCCAGAACCACAGGCCCAAGTTGTGGCCTTAAAAGCACTGGACATTAGACGACACAGCAACCAGATCTAGGCCAGGTCTGCAGGAAAGCCTGTTCACAAGAGGCAGGCTCAGGCCAGGCTGGACCAGAAGGCCTCTGTGACTGGGAGGGAGGCAGCCACCTGCTCATGTGTAAGGGTGGCAGCTCTTCAGCTGCGGGAGAGCAGCTTGCCAACAAGAGTGAAGGGCGGCTGGGATCTGATTGGAAGGGTCCACCAAGTCACAGCCACTTCCCAGTCTGAGGGGCCCACCAAGTCACAGGCCAGGACCAGAGAAGCAGGGCACCCGGGCCAGCAGTACACAATTTCACAACAATGGCCCCCTGGTCCCATCCTGCTCTACTTGGTGTGCCTGTCTGTACAGTGGGGTGATGGGAGCTATGCATGGGGACTAAGGGCACGTCACAGGTTGATCCGTGTTTCTCTCCAAAAAAGGCACATCCGTCTCCCCAGCTTCGCGTCACATACTGGCCACGCTGTCATGGCGGGCATCATCTGCAGGAATGTGGAGAGGTGCGACACAGAGGAAGCCCCAGGCCACAGGGACGGGCCCAGCAGAGGACCCCGCGTGGGGCGCAGGCCTGGCAGTGCTTCCTTCTGTTGCACATGGGGTCATGGTGGCTGGAAGCCAACTTGATGACCCCTAACACGAGTATCATGTCTACAGCCCTGCAGCCTTTATAACAGGTATTCTTGTAAGAAGGGGACAGGAGGTGGACACAGGGGGAGCAGCTGGGTGAAGGCCAGGCCGGGGGCTGCAACCACAACCAAGGACCCTGGTCACCGCAGGAGCTGGAAGGCCAGCCAGAGGACCAGTCCTGGTGCCCACACCTTGATGACGACCTTCCAGCCTCGACTGACAGGACTCATGGCAACTGGTTGGAAGCCACAGGGTCCTGGTGGCCTGAGGAAACCAGTGCAGGGGATGATGGGAGAAAACCTGTGGGAAACAGAAGGATTTCTCCCAAGTTGTCTCCCCAAATAGATGCCAGACTTAGCTGCTTGCGAATGACTATACACTTGGAGGTCATCAGGAGGAGATCAGGGGTCATTCTCCCTAAGAGCTATCAGCCATCTGGAGCAAGCAGACACCACTGTTCATCCCACAACAAGTAGGGCCCACTCCCTTCTGATAAGGATAGTGGTTGTCTGTTTCCTTGTAGGAGACCCCAGAGAGGTCAAACCCGCCCAAGGATGACCAAGGTTAGCTGCCATCATGAATCTAGGATCCACCCATCTTGTCACATGTGGACCCCTAGACCTTCCCAGTCCTATGGGCACACCCCTAGCTCATCCCCTTCCTGTCACGCTTATGCCTACCATACATCCCCTTCCTAAGATGTGTATGCCTATTGTACTGCCCCTTCCTGTGACATGTAGTTACCTGTAACCATGCCCCCATAAGGAGATATAACCCTTGGTAAGCAATAAAGTTGAGGCTCTCTCCTGCTCTCGAGGCCAGGGTCTCCCCACGAGGACCACCAAGCGGGGCTGAGGTGAGCATGCTACCATGAATTGTGTCTGACTCCATTATTCCAATCTCTCCTCTACCTCTCATGCTCTCTATGACTTTACTATCATCTTTACTTGTTATCGCTGTACAATTGTGCCTACCGGACCTGTGATGATTTGTGGGGGACCCTCCTCGCCCCACAAAAACCATCTACCATGGGACGCAGGAAGAAGCCAAAGCACTGAGAAACCTCACAGAAGGGACTTGGACACGCAGCTCGGGCTGGGCTGTGGGCCACCCGAGCACGGCACCCTACACCGACCAAAACAAGCCACTCAAGTGAGGGTCCTGCTGCTGGGAACGGAGAAGGGCGATGGAGGCAGGCACGTGGTGTGAGACACTGCATCTCCTGGGCTGGGTCCAGGGGCCATCAATGTGTTGCTTGCTGTGGGCACCTGGGTTGCGTCCGACTCCGGATATGCACACAGGGGGCTTCTCGTGTGCTGGGTAAAGGGAGCCGGAGAGCTTGCGGGCTGGCTTGTGTGTGACCCCCCACTGCAGAACAAGAGTCCAACCCACTGCTCTCCCACTCCAGCCCTGTCTGGTGGCTGCAAGGGGGTCAGAACAGGCACCTTGTGAAGTCCACAGGGCCCGGCGCACATTCCTTCCCCATGAGCACCGCGTGTATTTTTATCCCCCACACTGGGAGCCAGCACCCAGCTCAGCAGAGGGCCTTACCACCCACTGGGATAGGGACAGAAGGCCCGGTGGCCCAGGCAGGATGACTGCCCCCAGCACACCACTGCAGGGAACCTTGAGGCCTGGGCCCCCACATTGTCCACCATACTGCTCAGCACATCCAGAGGGCAGCCACACAACACTGCCC